ATGATAAAATTCCAACCTTAGAATGGAAAAACCTATACATAATTTAGAGTGCAGTGTCATGTGCACACATAGCGTATATGTCCAATAGACTGCGCAGTCTTATGGTAGGGATGAAGATGGCCAAAAAAAAGAGGCCAGTAACTGAAGTAACTTTCCTCTCTTTCTAATGGGACTGTTGGTGGGGGATTCTTCTACGCATTCTACGGCTGTAGCTGTAGTGTAGTTATTAGAGATGGCGTGAACTGCTACTTGTAAATCACTCGTGATTCGATCACGTTCGTTCCCAATCACGGTGATTTTCACAATAATTCGTGATTTCTCGTGATCGTTTCTGATTGGTGGAGAAACTTAACAGTTCTTTACACGCGACACATAATCTGGATATTTTATATTAACATCAAAACAAATATTCGAGTTATATCGTATAAAGTGAAGGAATAATTAGAAACAATGAAGAATAATGAATAAATTAATAATTACAAATTATAATGTACATGTTACCTAGGAAATCATTCTTTTAGAATTTCTTGTTTTTTCTACTGATTTTTACAAACACGAATAATAATGTAATTCATCGTAAAAATATATTGAATACGATTTTCTGTTTAAAGATCAAGGACTTACGATCGCAGTGAGCGAATTCACTCAAGATAAAAAAATCGCAATCACGGTCGTGAAGGAAGTTAAATCACGACCATGATCGTGATTCGGCGATCACTGCGATAAATCACCGTTAGTGATTTTGCACGCCATCTCTAGTAGTGATGGGCACCATCGACTAAAAACTATCGACTAAGTCGATAGTAACCAACCACTACTTTCAGTCGACTAAATTTAGTCGCTTGAAGCGACTCAATTCAGTCGAGTCAATTTAGTCGCTTCAAGCGTTTCGCTCGAACTATCGAGCTATTGATCGCTATTGACTGAATCTTGATTATTTTCTTCGCGATGCAAACCAATTGTAATTTTTTCATATATTTTTTTATGCATTACCAAGGACTGTGCAAATTATTGCTTATAACCTAATTGATTTTTATAAAAAATTTGGAGCAGTTAATTTTTTAAGTGCCAATATTAAATAGCTTACAAAAAATCGAATATTAGTAATTATTTAAAAAAACTTGTTTACCACTTATATTTTTGAAAGTTTATCTATGAACTAATACATTTCCAAAAGGTAAATACACCAATGGTGCTGAAAAATTGACGATATAATCTATATATAACTTATAAAGCAAAATTTCAGTCGATAGTATGTTGCGACTAAATAGTCATTAGTCGATAGTTTAATTTAGTTAATGGTGCCCATCACTACTGTAGTGTGGAGACATTACATGCGTGCAGCCTTCCTTCTCATCGCCCTGCAGGCGCCAGGCGCTTTCTCCCCTCCCGCTGCGATGTGCAAGCAAGTGAGTAGTTACTCCAGTGCTACTTCTGTCCTTCGGTCTCGCTTCATTCCTACCATAAGACCGCGCAGTCTATTATACATATATGTCTATGCACGTGATTTTGCATAGCGAACAAGACACTAGAGCATTTCCTGCAAAAAAAGATCTTTTCATCCCGCACTAAAGACAAAAGAAAAAGAAATTTAACGAAATGTTTATAGCTGTTTGAAGGTATAAGCACAGACGAGGTATAGGAGTAGACATTGCATCTAATGTATTTTTTCGGCCCATTTTCCTGGGGCGACGTCGCCCATTTTCATTTTAGTGTTGCTACGCACCGCAGATTCACCGTTCTCATACCGTAGAGGTCGCTTCAAGCACAGACTTTTTATGGTGTCGGTCAGTGTCGGTACTACAGTTTAGGTGGGCCACCAACTGCCATAAGATGAAATGTCTACTGGTCTACTCTTATACCTCGTCTGAGGTACGAGAATTTAGTGTGATACATATTACACTTAGAAAAATGGAAATGACTCATTATAAATTAACTTATGTATAGGTATAGGTACGCCCCTGCTTGAATCAAAATGAACCAATGAGTGATCGAACACAAATCACTACATATTATTTTGACGAGGTGTATCCACAACTTGAATGAACAATAATACTCTGAATAACCTCAATCAAGTACTGGTGAACGAAAAGCAAAAGTTGAAAACAGTCTTTAATGATGTATGTGTAATGCTATGTAAACAAATTCTCGCATAATTAAGAAAACATTTTGGTGCTGTGATCTATAGACCATATATATTGTAGTATATTCCAGTAAAACATTTCAGTACCTACGGATATCCTAAGAAGAAATCCGTAAATGAGTAAAAATACAAATACACGACACTAGATAAAAAAATTACTATGAAAATTCAGAAAAATGCTATAATTGTAATTTTGTTTCCTTCTATCATAGAATTCATAGGTCTACCTTAAGCACATATAGTTTATGATTTGCCCCCACTTACAGGAGAATTGATCGAGCGGGTGGGCAGGCGGCAGCCATATTATTAGTGAGGTGTCAGTATTGTCTGAACGTGACGGGATTTTTGGGTGTGGAACGTACAATTTCCTGTCGTTTTCTGTCGCGGTATAGTGCAAGTGCCACCGGTCTACTGTGAATGTGTGGCACATGTGTTTTAGGATACGTATCTTATAAACACAATAATGTAAGTCCCGCCAAACGAATTGTTGCTTTGTATTAAACTTATATTCTCTAATATTTTACAGATCTTTAAACAAATTACTTTTAGAATCAGTGTCGAAATATCATTTGTCTGAATATCATCGGAAACCTTTGTGGTGTTGGATATGTTTCCTTTCTTTTTTATTCTGTAAAACTAACCTCTCGTTTACTAACCTACATATGATGTTCAAATTATAAAACTATCTAACAGTTTCTAACGTAAGTTCCTTGTTTCTTCACTTGTGACATCTTGGTTTTGTATTTATATTTATTTAATTGCAATCGTAATTTCATTGACATCACACTATGCGTAAAGTTTTTTCAATACTATGGACATAAACATGTCAGTAAAAAATAATATCGTCAAAATTTGCATAAGCAGTTACATATTGTGTAAAGAGTATATAGGTATATTCGAGCATTGTAATAGGAAATTCCAGCGATGTGAAGCGTTTAGTAACCGCTTTCCTTTAAAGTAAAATGATCCGGAGACAGGATACACGTTTATATTTCTGTTAATCCTATGCATTTTTAGCTACGCTAAGCGATCAGTTATAACACCGCTTACACATCTTTACCAGTAGAATTAAATGCAAAAAGTAACGTGCATTTTGTCGGTTAATACGTTCAGAAATTTGCTCGTGTTTACATGACCAATCAGTGTGTCAAATACAACTGATATGTGATTTATTGTTGATACTGTGTATTTGGTGTCAATGGATGACCTTGAAAGGCACTTCGAGACACGAATCCTTTTTTATCGCATTCCTTTCATTACGTGGAGATTACTAACGTACAATATCTCGTGTATGTACATTTTTGTTCGCTTTATTTGTCTTTTTTGACACGAACGTATTATCAGAGTTGAATACAAAAATTTGAATTTCTGGATTAATTGGCAAACGTTGATGTTTAAGAACGAGTATTTTAGACTTCGAATGCCAGCAGTCGGAAATGGAAGCTTTATTAATAGACACCGATAGACACTTTCTATCTTTGTGGCTTGTGAAAAGTTAGACGGATACGAAGCTTTTTTACCGTCGTTGACAAAAATTAGAAGATACTAATGGTTCAACGGCCGCGAAGGTCCTAGATAAAAGGGGAATGCTAGACACAGTGTGCAGGCACTCCTTTCCGCCAGCGGATGTCGGTCACGCGAATTTACATTATAACCTGTCCCTTCTTCCAATATGGAGACACACGTACTTTTTGAATGTATCGTACCGCTTTTTTCAATAAAGGCTACAAATTAACAAATTAACATTAGTCAACACTATATATGTCTGACGCGTGTTTCTCAACTTTTTCGCATATCATAGATTAGATAATTTTACTCGAGATATATTGTAGATCAAATGTCGATTTTGTCAAATGTCGAAACTGATGATTCTAACCGTGACATAAATCTCGAAAATGAAGCTTAATGATCTTGTGTACTGTACTTAAAACAGAGCTTTAATTAAGAATGAGTAACATTTGTAACTATTTTCCATTATGATTATTTTGTTATGATTTTATATGTGAGGGAATATTTCTGTGGACAGAATTAATGAAGATTTATGATTAAATTCCGGTGTTATGACGTTTTACATTGTTCAACTTACTAACAAATTATTATTAGTTAATGTCACAATATAACCAGATATTTCACATCTAGTTTGTAATAATGTTTTCTATAAATTATTTTTTGTAAGATTCAATAAGTAAAACACACTGTGAAAGAAATCTAAACGTTGTTTTTGATAACTCTGTTCGCGGATTAATTGATAAAATAAACATCGATAACAATTTAAAGAAAATGGTATACATATAGTGTTTATTCTTTGAAGAAAAACGAAATCTCATTTGTTATAAGAAATATTTATTGTATGGATCAATATCTTTGTATAGAAAATAACTTAATGAGTAATAATTAATAATTTTACATAAAGTAGAAAAATTTAAATTAATAAAATGATAGTATGTACTTATCAATGAAATGTATGTATTTTTTATAATGAACATTTTTAAACCCAATGGAAATTAATATTTTGATACGTTTAGGAACAAGTTTTAATATTTACATTTGAAGAAATTTTTTAGGATAATTCTAAATTTTTGTCATTTCTTTTAAGAATATAATTTTTTATGAGTATTTTATATAAATAATTGGACATATTAATATTACAAACTTTATTAGTTGTGTCTAATTTTCGTTTCAGACGGATAGTTTTACTGTTTAGCACGGGAGAACACAGCTGCCACAATGCCGAAAACGGTATGTATATTTTTGTATATCACTAGATTTCATTGAAATTTTTTAATTTTCAAAAAGTTATAAAGAAATCTCGATGTACATTTGTAATATCGAAATAGTATTGTTAAATATCATATGTCGAGATTATAAAGTAGGTAATTTCCTAGTTAAAAACTTCCTTTGTATCGAGTATAAAAAATACGTAGTGCACTGATTAAAGCCACATAAAATATAACTAGACAAACAGTTTTTCTATGAGGAAGTCCAACTTTACGACTTACATGATACATTATTGAGTTTTGTTTATTAAATATACAGCAAATGGAGGTTGCAATTGAAAAACATAGTTATTCTTCATTTATAGTTTACAGTTTTTGTTGTTACTTATGCTGGCAGATGAAAAAAACAATTAATTTGCAAATTTGAATTTGAATCGGTTTAGGTTAAGATTAATTATTTTACATTTAATTTGTATGCAACTTAGAAATTTAGGTATTTGAGAACAAGGTTTAATATTTCTGAATAAATTTTGGATTTTTATGGAAATTTTATGCTAATTAATATAGATTAATTCAGAACACTGCAAATTAAAAGTGTAATTTCCTTAGTGAGGAACGTATAAAGTTAAATTTTATTCGTATTTTTATTTTATTACGTTTTGTAAATGTACATATGGTATAAATTTATAACATGCACAATGTAATTATTATTATTATTATAAATTCAGTCAGATTTAGTGAATAGTTAGAATATTGTAATAACTTTAACATTTCAATAACGAACCACTGAAGATCGTTGTACGTGTAAGTATTCACAGTCTGGTAATAGTATATTAATTCGTCATGCCCTCTATAGAGGCATTTTTAAACGAAAATCTTTTCCCTCGTAACGGTTTCGTGTAGTCTTAAAATCAAAGTACAATAATATATTCAATTTGCGTAATGATAATTCTCTTAACATAATTACTCAGATAACAGTTTTTTGATATCATTAAAAAACGTAGGTTGTGTTAACGGACACAAATCGTGCTCAAGAAAGAGTTGCTTCCTTTTGCACACCCGGTATTTTAGCTGAGCGCTGATTGGCCACGGATAGACGCACCGGCTTCCTCACGTGATCACGTTCTATTTCTCTTTCTCCATCTCACGGATTGAAGCAACAAATCTGACAAAGAAGGGGAACGATGCACTGTTCGGCAGACGAAAAGGTGGGGAGAAGACGCCGCCGGTTGCACTTGCCCCTTAGCCCATTGTCCGTTCTGAAACCGGCAAAAGCTAACCGTCGAATCTTGTTCGAGCGTATACTTTTATTTTGCATTTCTAAACTTCCAGTGCATCGTAAGAATCGTTCAGGTTCGAGTGCTTAATAGACGTTTCTCGGCTTACATCGTGTGAACGATTTCTAGTTCGTTTATATTCGCGTGGTAGTTATCCATAGCAACCATGGTTGCCGGTAATAAAACGGTAAGCGTGAGTCGAAACTCTTTTGCGGATCATCGAAGAAATCCGTTACGATCGTAATATATAGTGTGTTCTATTTATTTTGGGAAAAGTTTGTGAGATATGCTGGAAAAGAGATAGATGTGGCAACTTCTATTGGGTGACATGGTTTTTGATTTTGGTTTCTTATTCGTATGCGAAGATGAACGTCAGGGTGACGACGATGGACGCCGAACTGGAGTTTTCGATCCAGCAGACGACCACTGGAAAGCAACTTTTCGACCAGGTTGTAAAAACGATCGGACTGCGTGAGGTGTGGTTTTTCGGACTGCAGTACACCGACAATAAGGGCGACCTGACATGGATCAAACTGTACAAAAAGGTAAGATGATTTGTTATTTATTACACTGATTACTTTGCAATGTAGTTAATAGTAATGACCTCCGTAACAGTTTATTGTTTTAGAGTGCTCATAGTTGCTTTAAAGGTATTCTATGCTTTATATAGGTATTAGAAGAAAATAGTAAACCTTAGTTAATTGTATTAGATTGAATAATAAGTTCGTTCAGATTTTATAACTTTTTGTATCTTTAAATAATTTTTATACTATGTTATGATATACATTTGGAGACTATTACAATAACAGTCTGCAATTAAACAATGGGTTCGTTGTGTGTCATGTGTAACTTAAGCATAAAATGTCCATTGAAATACCTAAAGTGATTTATTTTGTGATGTTATGATTTTCGGTAATACAAAGAAATTTTACCGAATACAAAATTTTCCACGGATTACCGGTGATGCGCATATCTCATTCGATGTATTATACATAGAATATTTTATGACAATCTGTTGTACGTTTCTGTGTCAGCCGTGAAAATATTATATTAATTGCAATGATCAGATAGTCATGCGTCATTAATAACCTACGCGTTACCTAATCTATTACACAATTTGTTTTATAATTTTTTACTAAACTTTTGGTACCACACTTTTTGCGATGAAAATATTAATTGAAACAGATAGTCTTCAGTGGGTTGTTGAAAACAATAAAAAAGATATTTTACACACAGCAGATAATATGTTTATAAATCTTTGTATTTTTGGATATTAATTAAAATCCTTTAGAATACGATAATTGTTCAGATAATATTTTCCTCCGTTTGCATATTATAAAATTTTATTTGTTGTCTCCCATAATTGTTTCAAAAATTTTATCCGAAATTATTTCAAGGACAGTCTCATAATATATTGTTTAATAGAAAATTACACACCGAAGTGATTTTTAATTAATTTGGAAACATCTATAAACTTTAGTTCATAGAAGTAATCGAACTTATTGTTCAAACTAATAATTGAAAATTGAAAACTAACGCTTCCACGACATAAAATTCTGTAAGACGTGAAGCAAGATTTCGTACTGCGTGCACATAATCAAAAAACGTTTTCGTGAATCTTGAAGAAAGGGAAAAGTTATTAAATAATTCAAAGATTTAATTAATACTTAAATGACAAATTTTATTAAATAAGGAACACATAAGTGCTTTGTACACGAATAAACATTACTATTTTCGATTTGTAGCGTACGGAATTAAGGACTGCAGACGGTAAATAATTCTCGTCCTGTCTTATTAGTCCTTGTTTATTAATAAGAAACGAACACTCAAATTAACTACTACATTCGTGTTTTTCGTGCTTTTGTTTTTTGTTTTGTTTAACAATCTGTAGAATACACACTATGGTTTTAAGAAATGGACGGAACATGGAATATTGAGACGTGTTTGAAAGGTATGATTGGTAATTGAAGTGGTTCTGTTTCGTAGTATCAATGATCGAAAACTTGCGGGTAGTAAGTATAGGCGTAGTGGACATTGGAAATGGACGAAAATGGATGACTTTATGAATTTTGAACTTGTCTCGGAAGTAGTTTTATTGTTAGTATGTCATTTGTGGAAATTGAAGGTTTGACTACCAAATGTGACGGGATGTTTTTCATAGCATGCAGACCGAGAATTCGTGTTATTCTTTAACGCAATTGATGTTGAGCGTTTAGTTACACGCATTCGTATCCATTCAACCAATGTAGAACTCGCTATTCGAATTCGTGCATTTGCGTCATTCCCTAAAAAAGTGACACAGGGGGAGGTGTTGACGCGGATGCGATGTCATCGACTTTCGTGGTTCCGATAATGTTAGGCTACTTGTTGAATTTCGCATTTAATTCTGGTCTTGTAACGTTCAACAACAGTCTCATTATTAAAATACAAAATAAATATTTCGAAAGTTACATTTTAGGTATGTAATTTTCCACAAAAACTTTTATATTGTGTTTTAAATATGTTATTCCTCTTTAAACTGATGTACGTATTTTGGGTGTCGATACCTGATTTGAAGTACAGTTACGACCGTCAGGTAGACACGCCATCTACTTTCACCGTGTGGATGATGTAGACGCGCCTTCACCTTGACACAGTCGCTTGTGTACTTTTATTGTCCCGTCATTTTTTCTCCTCTTCGGTTTCCACATTACTGTGTCTGGCTGAACGTGTTTAAATTTTCGGCACCACTGTCTATGTCATGCCGTTCATTCTGTTTTATCCTTTTTATTCTTCGAGGAAGTACATCTGAATCAGTAAGACTTTTTATCGACGAGACATGTTGGAGCTCAGTGAAACTTAATTTGACTAAATATTAATTTAATGAAAAACAAATTGTAAAATAATAGAATATAATAAAACTAAGGATAAGAATAATATTTTATGAAAGAGCAATCTTTCCACGATGCTGCTAAAATTGGAAAACCTGTTTCGAATATTCTCTTGCCTTTTTTTTTATCTAAGATTACTTAGCATTTTAAAAGGCATGCGGTGGAAATCCTTTATGTAGAGTTTTCCTGTATAATTTTCCCAAGGTAATCAGTATGATTAGTTACAAATAACCATATCCGTATTTTTTTTCTTTAAGTAAAAAGAGAATATTTAACTGAAACAGTTGTACGTGGTAAGCATAAATGTTCAAGGTGGTTATGGAAAATTAAAATGAATTGTGTTTCACTTTGTTCAAAAACGGGTACACAAGGTTCAATTTTCTCTGAGAAAAAAATGAAATGAACTGATAGTCGAAATCTCGTTAAAAATCTTAAATCGTTCTGTTATTACTATAATTATTCATAAAATGTAATAGAAGTAATTAATATGTAGCAACGTATACATATATTATTGAAAATTTTGCCAATAATTCTTATGCATTTTGTCCTGTAATCGTGGTAGAGATTTCTGTATAAATGGTTGACCCTTTATTTCCTTCCAGCTGCTTAACAGAAGTAAATATTAGATAACGTAATTATGTTATCTGCAGTTGTAAATATCTACTTGTATTCTGAGTGTTGCATATTAATATAAATAATACGCAGAATTATGCAAACAATTTTGATGGCATTAAATAAAGTGTGACGAATACGATGTAATAGTGAGATATAGTTTGATCGTCTGAGACCTGAACTACTATACGCGAGCGCAAAAGCAGAAGCGCAAGAAGTGGCAGAACTCATCTAGGAAGTTCATGGGTTTCTTTCACTCTGCTATGTCACGTTTTCTTAAACCGCGTCTATACCTAACGAACGAACATGAATACACTTGAGTGATCATAAACGTTCATAACCAAGCACTCTTAATATTAGTTGTAATATTATAACTAAAAATATATCTGAAACCACTTACGTGCAATGATTGCTATTGTTAGTTCATTTTCTGTGGCGATGAATTGAACTTTTGAGTTAAGCATAATTCTTTTTTCATTTTTGTAATGCATTCTATAATACGGTGATACATCTGTTTCATTTATCAGTGATGGCACTACGTCGCCTTACTATTCCATTTTTACGAAACGATCTATCTGAAAACTTTCTGGTACCTACTGCTATCAATTCTTCACTTTTTTAATCGTTCTTTCCACATAATACGAATGCGCACGAACGCTTACGATTATTTTCCTTTGATGTACCGAGAAGCGATCAATCATGTTCGCCAGCGTTTGCTCATGTTCGTTTGAATTCGCAGTACCGTATCACACGTGGTCGTTTGTGTTTGTTCGCCAGATGTAGCGGTGACTACTCGCCAAAGCGATTGACGCCGGTTAATACTCAACGAAGCATTATTAATTTGGGTATTGATTTTTTTTCGTATGTTTTTATTTCTCCGAGATGCAACTCTTCCTAATGTCTTCCATTGGTTTCGGACTTGGTCGATCAGACTGTATCACTTTATCGTCGTGCTAGAATGCAGTAGACAATGCAGCGAGACATTTTTAATCGATTTTAGTTTAAGAAAATTTTATTAAATTGGTAATTATTGAGAACATAGTCCTCAGCACCGATTTCAATGACCTTGAAGTATGATCTCAAGTCCATCATTTTGAACAATTTTTTCCTATATGTATATGATGGTCAGTCTCTCTTAGTTTCCGAAATATTTGCGAAAAACTGCTGCTATTACTACATTGAATTTTATCTATACGTATACGTCCGTGACAGCGTGTACGTCAGCATGCGACTGCTAATGATCTTTTTTTTTTGTTTTTAACTAACTCTAACCTACTCAAATCAGTACAATGCTTTGCGGAGTATTTTTGTGTTTCTGACTAGCTCTAACCTACTCAAATCCGAAAAAATCGAAAAAAAAAACAAAAAAAATACTCTATTCAAAGCATTATATTGATTTGAGTAGCTTAGAGCTAGTTAAAAAGGAAAAAAAATACTGTTCAAAGCATTATACTGATTTGAGTATTCAAAGTCACTGAAATCAGTTAAGGTGGCCCCCTCAAATTGTTAACAATTATAAATTTAGTTCAAAATTAATCAGAACATATTTAAAAGCTTCAACTTTAAATAAAATTATTGAAAAAGAAATGGTATAAAAATTTATTTTCAATACGAGCCTTATGGAACTGTAGTTGATACTGAGAAGTTAATCACTTCTTATTTAGGTACAAAAAATGACCTTTTCATAAAAAATTAGGCGATTAGGATGGCACGGAAAAAAAGATATGTTAATGATCAAATAAAACTAAAAATTAGGATCAAAGTATGTAAACTTAGATTTCTACGCTTTTCGTAGTATCTTCCACGCATGTCTGCGGTGACCGCCAACGACGCTTGTTTTCCTTTGATTTGTTCGACGAATTTTCCGATTTTTCCTTAAAAATTAAAAAAAGAATTAAAACTTTTTAACAACAAGGGAAAAAATGTTTGTTTTTTCCACTTGTAAATTTTTGTTCCATTGAAGTATTTCGAAGTAGTTTAAAATATTAATCATTCAAGTTAAATCGATAAAATTGATAAAAAGTATAAAGCGCCATATGAAGCCCTAGCTAGGTACGACACCA